GATATATGTTTTGATTATTTTTCTTTATGGAAGCAAATACAGAATTTCCATTGTCAGATCACTCTGATGATTATAATCTGCTTTCATTATGCACCAGTGAAATGCCCACCAAGTAGTTGAAAACACTGATATACATGTATTCTAAAACTTACTAAATAAATAATGGGCCAGTAAGATACCAGTATCTTTCTAGAACATTTAGAAAGAGATCTTAGTTGCCAGAGAAAACTCAGATACAACATGGGCCTGTAAACACATACACTCTAGTCTATAAATATGACACTTTTCAACTCAATAATAAGTGGGCCCAAAACAATATAGGGTGTATGACCTAGACTCCCTAGGTGCTGCTCAGCAGCTGCCTCAGCATCAAATTGTGTTCATCCCATTTTCTAATCTAACCAAGTACTTGGAACTAAAGGGCTGTGTGTGAGCCCAAGAAAATGATATATTAAATATTTTTCACCACATATGACATCATTAATTCAATACTGCCTGTTAGTCAATTAATGTGGATTCTTTCAGGGTTCATCAATGCATGTGTGGCTTGATGGTTTATGAATAAATATATTCTGGCTCAATGCTTTCCACTGAAATGAAAGGTCACAAGTTCTATGTTCCCTATCAAATGTGTAAAGCAAAAACACAACAAACGAAAACAACAAAGTACAGTCGTTTGATTATATACAGTCATGTGCTGCATAACAACGATTCCATCAATGATGGACCACATATACCACGATGGTCCCATACGATTATACCATATTTTTACTGTACCTTTTCTATGTCTAAAATGTTTGGATACAGAAATACCATTGTGTTACAACTGCCTACAGTGTTCAGTACAGTAACATGCTGTACAGGTTTGCAGCCCAGGAGCAATAGGCTAGACCATATATCCTAGGTGGGTAGAGGCCGTACCATCTAGGTTTGTGTTAAATACACTCTGTGACGTTCACACAATGACAAAACAACCTAAGGATGCATTTCTCTGAATGTTTCCCTCATCATTAAGCGGGGCATGATTGTATTTTTTTTCTCTTTAAGGAAATAAGACCCTACTGTAATACAAGTCGGCAGAATCTAACAGCTACTAATAATTCATGTAATCCACAAGTCAAAATTTGTTCATGCATCAC